GGTTCTGGTTATTACAAATAAAGCAGATATGAACATTATTGAGCAGGTGTTCTTGTGGTATGGTAGAGCGTCCTTTGGGTATATTCCCAGGAGTGGTATTGCTGGGTCTCGAGGTAAGTCAAGTCCCATTTTTCTGAGAAACCATCATATTAATTTCTGAAGAGGATGGTGGGAGTTAAAACTTGTACAGCCACTTTGGAAAAAGGAATGTTTCCCTTGCTCCCTATTCTCTCCAGAATGAGCTGTCATTTGTGTTTTTGATCTTAGTCATTCTGACATAAGTAAGACGGAATCTCAGGGTCATTTTGACCTGCGTTTCCCTGATGGCTAAAGATGATGAACATTTCTTTAAGTGTTTCTCAGCCATCTGAGATTCCTCTGTTGAGAATTCTCTGTTTAGATCTGTACTCCATTTTTAAATTGACTTATTCAGTTTGTTGATGGCCAGTTTCTTGGGTTCTTTATCTATTTTAGAAATCAGCCCTGTGTCGGAGGTGGGACTGGTGAAAATCTTTTCCCATTCTGTAGGCTGTGGTTTTGTCCTTTTGATGATGTCACTGTCATGCTGCCCAGGTGTGGTGCAGAACCTGCTAGCTCTCTCCAGTGCTGCAGGCAAGGAGGGGTAGGACCAGTTCTCCCTGGTGCCGCAGAAAGTGAGGGCAGATCCAACTCTGTGCAGCCCTATCCTCTCGGCCTTCAGTGGGAACAGGAGCCAAGGACATCAGTGCAGACCAAGGATGCAGCAGGGCAACAGGTGCAGAGATGGCCCTTGACTGCAGCTCAGGGCTCCATGAGGCAAGGAGCCTGCCCACCTTGGCCCACACCCCACTGCCTTCACTCCTCAGATCTGCCTCTCTCCACAGGACATGAGCCAGTCTATTTCTTTCTCTCTTCCATACCCCGCCATATATTGCTCACCATAAAAGAACCTGTCAGACACTGGGTGGGCCCATGTTTTCTCTTCCAGGCCCAGAACAGAGGCCCCAGACTGGCATGTGGGTCTTTGTCTCCAGCTCAGTCTTCCTGTCTTCTCTTCTGGGCCGCAGTATTCAACTTCAAACAAAAGTCATTTACCCAGATATCTCAGTTGGCCAGGGTGATTTTTGCTGAGAGAGCATAATGGTGCTCAGGTGGCCCAGTGATGTAGGTGCCAGGTGGGCTCATGGGTGAATTATTCCTGCTCCAGGTCTACAGATCTGGGGCAGAGTTGTACTTGTCCTCCAAAGCCCATCAGGACTAGAAACCTCTTGTTTATTTTTAACATAATCCTTTATTGATTCTTTGAGAATTTCATATCATGCACCCCAATCCCACTCACCTCTCAGTCCCTCCATATCTGCCTCTTACCCCTATAGCATGGTTCCACCTCCCAAAATTAATTAAAAACAACCAAACAAAAAAACTACCTCGTTCCTCCATCCTTCCGACACCTCTGCATTCATCCTAGTGACATCAGGAGATGCAGTGTGTCACACAGTGTACCCTTTGTCCAATCAGCCCCACCCACAGAATATTCATTGCAATGAGTCATTGGTCTGGTTCAAGGTCTCTGGTATATCATCATCACTGGACCCTCACTGAAACTCCGTGGATATCCTGCTGTTGCCCCAAGTTATGCAGTTCCTACAGCTACTGTTCTGCAGGGCCAGTCTCTTCACGCACTCAATAAAGTAAATGCTAGAGTGGGCCAACCCAAGGCCCAGGATGTGGTCTGGGTGGTAGCTGAAATGGTCAGTCTCAGCCACTGGGACTGCCCCCTCAGGCAAGGAACAGTGCCAGCTCTTCTATGCCCATAGTGAGGGATGGGGCCATCTCTCCCGAGTTCAGGGGGCCAGCTCTCATGCTGGGCCACCCAGATCAGTATGGACCCAGTGGCAGCAAAGCCCTCAGATACTAACATGGCCTCAGGTGCTATCAAGACCCCTGGCACCTGCACAACCCACGGTGGCAAAAGGAGCCGTGGAATCAACCCAAACCATAGCTGTTGCTGGACCACAGACCTTTGGCAGTATCCCTGGCCCAGATGACACCTTGGCCACAGGTGATGGCACAGGCCACTCACATTGACATGGTTCCAGCAGCAAGATGGCCCTTGGGTACCATAGGTTGTGGCCTAGACCCTGGTCATTTGTGTGGCCTTTGGCAGAACCATGACCATGGACATCAACACAGAGCGTGACTGTGGTAAGACCATGGACCCAGACATGGTGGTCCTCATCAACAGTCTAGGACAGGATGCCACCTTGGCCCCAGGTGGCATTTGAGAACACTCAAATTGGCCTGGCCCCAGTGGCAGCATGACCCTTGGACACTAATATAACCCATATGGTAGCCCAGACCCCTGACACTTCCATGGCCTTCAGTTCTATTGGGAGCCACAGATATCAACACAGACCCTAGCTGCTGCGGTGTCATTTGCTGGGAATTTAGGATGAAGGCAAAGCACACATGCACAGCATGCTCTGAATTCATATTCCCAGATGTGTGAGAAAGGACCTCAATGTGGTGTTGGGGTAGTACACAGCAGTGCAGTCAACTTGGGGTTCAGCTCTCTCAGTGGATTACCCCCTAATGTTGACAAGTCATTCCACACTCTGCCTTATTATTTGAAAAATAATTCTATTGGGAAAGTCACTGTTGCTACCCAGTTTAGGTATGGGCAATGTCCATTATCAATAAATGAAATATGTGGCCAGTAGCCAGGCCAGAGTGAAGTGTTTCTTACCCCAAGCAAGGCTACAGTGCGGATAAGAATACACAGTAATGAGAACTTTCAGGCACAGGAGTGAGTACTCTAGGCCCTGATTATTGTCTTGAGCTTTCTTTTAGAGGGTTCAAAATAAGTGGAGTGATATTTTATTTTTTTTAATAAATATAGCTTTCCAAAAGATCAGAGAGTAAAACAGCTGCCCTGATCAGCCTTACAGACCAGGCAGTGGTGACACACATGTTTAATCCCAGTAGCCACACTAGTTTGCCATAGAAACTGGGTGGTAGTGGTGCATACTTTATCCCAGCACTAGAGAGGAATATTGGTGCAGGAGAATTGTCTGTAGTCTGTCAATCATGTTTTAAATAAATGCTGATTGGCCAGGCAGGAAGTCAGGAATACCAGACAGGAAGTAGAAATGATGCAATGAGAACAGGAGAATTCTGAGAAGGAGGAAGTTGATTCCTCTCACTCCTGCCCAGACTACAGGATGCAGCAGGATGTGATCTGCCCCACTGAAAAAGGTACCGAGCCTCATGGCTAACATAGATCAGAATAATGGGTTAATATAAGCTACAAGAGCTAATAAGTAGCCTGACCTAATGGGCCAATCAGCTTTATAACCTATAGAGATCTCTGTGTGATTTTCTTTGGAGCTAAACAGCTGTGGGAACTGGGCAGGACAGAAATCCCCAACGAGCAGGCCCAGCTCATGTTAAAGAATATAAGATGGCAGGAAACAGCTCTCACACACAGTGTCATTTGGAGAATTCCTGGAGGCAGGATCACCATTTTGGACTGAGGTAGAGGTAAGAGCTAGCGACTGACTGTTTTGTTTTTCTGACCTTTAGGTTGAACCCCAATATCTGTCTCTGGGTTTTTATTAGCAGAGGAGTTTTGCTACTAAGAGCTTAATCTGGGTGGTTCTCTATTGTGATTGACAAGCTTGGGTTACTTAAACCCTCCCCATAGCAACCTGTTGTTAATAATAACAACAGTTCAGCTGTGCTAGGCACAGGACAGTAATTAGGAGATTCTCTCTACTGCTTCACTTCTGGACACAGTTTGCCTTATTGAGTGTGCAGTCCAAGGCAGACTAGACCAGACTGACCCATTTACCATAGTTCCCAGATACATTAATGATATGTTTGATTAGAAACTGTCAATGTTTGATTGTCTTTATAAGATGAATAGCTTCTTCCATTGGTTAAAGTGGGCTTGCAGTGCTGTTCTGTGGGTGTGGTGGTCTTGGATGCTAGCAGATTGCTAGGTGCGGTGTTTAGAGAGCGGTGTGTGTGTGTGTGTGTGTGTGTGTGTGTGTGTGTGTGTGTGTACATAGCCTGTACAAGAGAGGAACTGAGGGACCCAAGTTCATTACCAGAAGAGATGTATGTGCATAACTCACATGAAGTAGGTTCCCGGGTGACTAAATTGTTCCCTGTGCTTGCCGGCCTCACAGCAAATACGTTCACTCTAATTCCAAGAGCAGGGGTTGCCTTGTTGTTTCTGACTAACTCACTGTCTCCCCCAGGGTACTAGTGACATTTCTGCTGTTATGAAAATCACCATGACCAAGGTGACCTACAGAAGTAAGAGTTTATTTTGGCTGTTGGTCCCTGAGGATTAGAGTTCATAATGGCAGGAAGAAGGCAGGAAGCAGGGTGGCTAGAGCAGAAAGCTGAGAGCTCACATCTTCAAATGAAAGCATGAAGCAGAGAAAACTACAAATTAGTCTTTTAATCTCAAAGACCACCTCCAGGGACACTTCCTCCAGCAAGGCTACTCTTCTAAGCCTTCCCAAACAGTACCACCAACTGGAACCAAGTGATAAAATGACAAAGGCTACAAGGACATTTATCATTTAATCTACCACACCCAGGCTGGCCTTGAACTCTCAATCCTCCTGGTTCAGCCTTCCCAGCACTCTTAACACAAGCATGCACCATCAGTCCTTGTATTAAGAACATTTTAATAATGATTTTTCAAGTGGTCTTCTGTGCTGTTTACAGATGACCTCAGAGTTACAGAAAGTGAGGGTCACAGAGTTCAGAATAGAATCCAGTGCTCCTCAGCTGTCTGGGCTTCTTTCCACAAAACACTTCTCTGAGATAACACACCAGCTTCTCTATACCCTTCACAGAATAAAGAAACAGAACATGGGCATCTGAGGAGTCACAGTGGTTTTAGAATCCATGCTTTGTGTCACCAACTGTGCACTGTTTGGGCTGACAGCCTAGACAGAGTGAGTGTGGAGATCTGTATAATAAAGTAATCCAAGTGAGATTGACTATCAGGAGTCATTACACCTGGTTTCAGAGACGTTTTGGTTCCTTCTGGCAGATCCAATAGTAGTCTGAAGCACAGTCCTCAGAAACCACTTTGTCCTTTGAGATGGAGGCACAGCTGTTTATTTTAGCTTCACCAGTGATTTGTAATCTGAGGAGGAAGAGAACAGCCACTCTTAGTGTTTAGAATTTTCTCATAAATGTCTTGTCATTGCTTTCCTGTGGAATTTAAAGGAAACAGTAGAATGCACAGTTGTTCAGTGTAGTAAACACAAACATAATGTTATAAACATTGATAGCAGGGCTGATTCTGAAACCTGCTGTTTCTTCGCTGGCAAAGAAGCCTTCCAGCAACAATGTTCATAATGATGCATGAAACACAGATGGTTTGAAGAGATGGAGACCTCATTCCACTATTAACATGTCACGTGACCTCCTCATTCCACTACTAACATGTCATGTGATCTCCTATTCTACTACTAACACATTGCCTTAGGGTTTTTATTGCTGTAAAGAGACACCAGGACCACAACAATTATTACAAAGAAAACATTTACTTGGCATGGCTTGCTTACAGTTTCAGAGGTTCAGTCCATTACCATCATGGTGGGGTGGATGGTGGGAGATATGGTGATGGCTACATCTTGACATGCAGTCTACAGGAAGTCAACTGAGACACTGGGTGGTATTCTGAGCATAGGAAACCTTAAAGCCTACCCCAACAGTGACATACATCCTTCAATAAGGCCATCCCTCTCCAACAAAGCCACACCATCTAATAATGCCATTCCTTATGTGATTATGGGTGCCAATTACATTCAAATTACCACATCAATCCTGTGAAGAGCTCTTTTTTTTAGTTTCAGTTTTATTTAATATACAAGTTTTGCAAAGGAGAGAGCCTCTTGTTCATCCCAGCTACCAGCTAGCTTAGCCCTGAAATAATCACACAGAAACTGTGTTCATTAAATCACTGCTTGGCCTATTAGTTCTAACATATTATTGGCTAACTCTTACACTTTGATTTAGCCCATTTCTATGAATCTATGTATCGCCACATGGCAGTGGCTTACCAGGAAAGATTCGGCATGTCTGTCTCTGGTGGCTCCATGGTGTCTCTCTCTGACTCTGCTTTCTTCCTCCCAGCATTTCATTTCATTTTGCCCACCTACCTAAGTTGTGCCCTATCAAGGGCCCAAAGCAGTTTTTTATTAACAAATGAAAGCAACACAAAGACAGAAGGACCTCCTGTACCTTACAAGGTTAGGGGCTGGAGGGATGGCCCAGAGGTTAAGAGTCCTGGCTGCTCTTGCAAAGGACCCGAGTTTAGTTACCAGCAATCATATGGCGGTTCAAAGTATTTGTAAATCCAGTACCAAGGAATCTGATACACTCTTCTGGATTCCATGGACACCAGGCATTCACGTGGTACATGTACACACATGCAGGCAAACACTCATATACATAAACCAAAAATGAATAACTCTCCAAAATAGATTAATAGCAGAAGCACACACATACATACACATATAAAAGTATGTACATACATGTATGTGGTTTAACTATCTAACATTTGGAGAAGCATTATGGTATACCTGAATGGGTGACAACTGTTACACACAGTAGGTGCTCAATGAATGCATCCAGTATACAGAGTGAGCTCACAGGGTCTAGATCACAGAACTGGATGCAGGGAAGGAAAGATGCTCAGCTCATGTGATTCGTAGTCATGATTCCTTTCATTGTCCTCCCTTAGGTTGGCAAGTATTGATTAATACACGGATTTCAAACATGCATAGCTCCTATGGCCCCGTAAATTCAAGTGCTAACACACAGTATCAAGGGTCTTAGAAGAAGGTGGCATCTGACAGTGGCCGGGCTCCTCACGGGTGTCCTTCCTTTGTTTAGTTCTTAGTGGAGCCCTTGAGCTTGAGATGTGAATCTGATGCCGTCCTAGTGGTCAGCCTGCAATCCAGTGTTGTAATAGGAGCGGCGGGGCTGCGTTCCTAGCACCCCGGCCGCCTGCTCGGCTAGCTTATGCTCCGAAATAACAACACACAAACTGTATTCATTTAAACACTGCTTGGCCCTTTAGCTCTAGCCCTTACAGGCTAATTCTCACATCCCTATCAACCCATACCGGGAAAGATTCAGCATGTCTAACCTGGCAGCTTGCTTCATCGCGTGTGTCTGCCTGGGAGAGCGGAGCATGGCATCTCTCCGAGGCGTCTGCTCCCAAGAAGAGAGCTGTCGAGTCTGAGCTCACTTCCTCTTCCTCCCATTGTTCTGTTCTGTTTACTCCTCCCACCTATCTTCTAACCAATGAGGGCCAAGCAGTTTCTTTTTATTTAACCAATGACCTTCCTCCATCAATCCAGCCATGATTCCCTTGGATTCTTCCACCCTCAGGATCTGTCTTCCATTCTCAGCATCATTTCCCTGTGGCTGATCTATGTAGTCAAGGACTTCCTTTCACAATCCCTTTAAGACCTCCCAGGCCTTCTCCTGCTGGACTCCTGGAGAGTTCTCTGACATTCCTTACTAATCCCCAAATAACCCTGTGAGGGAAACTGTTACTCTCTCCCTTTTCCTTACTTGAAGCCAGGGACAGAGAGTTAAAGCAAAGGCAGGGCTTGCTTGACTGACACTTCCTACTGAGCACAGCAGCCTCCAGGCTTCTCAGTCCCTTTAGTCTAATCACAGAGACATTTTGTCCACAGAGTAAAGGACAGAGCGGCCGAGATTCATCCGTACACTTCACATTTCTCTACTCTATGCCAACTTTTTATGTTCAAAAATTTCTATACTTATTAAAGGCTCATTACATTTTGAGTAAATCTAAATCAGCATTTTACATTTCAATCTTTTCTGTTCTGAATAAGAAGTTCATTTTCTTGTAAGATTTGCTTAAGTTTATTCAAACAAGATTAATAAAATGATTCTAAATATCACTCCTGAAAACCTCATAAAAAGCACTGTAGAGAAATTTGACTGAATCTTACATCCTTTTGCATGAATATTTTGTTCTTGTTATACAAAAATAATGAATTCTGTTAAAATATATAGTTTAATTCTGAAATGTCAAGTCTCTCATTGCACAGTTACCATGACAATCTCATATAATAAGAAAGTGGCAAGACACCGAGAGCAAAATGCTTCTTTGTGAGCTACCACACACACAGTTATACTTTTGACACCCGGTAGTGAAGGATAACTGTGGTAGGTGACTGGATCATGGGAGCACTAACTCCATCAAGGAATTAGCCCATTGCTGAGTTCCCATCAAACAAAATGAGGCCTCCCAGAAAGATGTAGGTCATGGTGGGAAGCAGCCTTTGAGGGCAAATCTCTGCTTCTCATCCCACCCTGGTGCTTGCTATCTCCTCTCCATCCTGCCCATCTCGAGGTGAGCAACTTTGCTGTGCACTTACAACATTTCTGCACTGCACAGGGCCAGCAGCAATGCAGCAAGATGAAGAGGACTTGAGTCCCCTGAACTGTGAACCAAAATGACTTTCCATTCTTGTTTTTCTATGATACGTTGTTACAACAACAAAAGCTGATTAAAGCTGTTTTCATCACAGCTCCTCAAATAATTGTAGCTTTCATCACTCCAGCTAAGCTACAATGCAACCTATGACAATGATCATTTCTCTCAGCTGACAAAGCTCCCTGCTGACACTGCCTTCCCTTCCCCACTTACTCTTCCTCTGCTGGCTGTGACCTGAGCTACTGGGCTCACTGCACACTAAGGCTCATTTTACCACAGCATGGAAAGGACCACTTAAGAAATTCTTTGGTGCCGGGCGGTAGTGGCACACGCCTTTAATCCCAGCACTTGGGAGGCAGAGGCAGGCAGATCTCTGTGAGTTCGAGACCAGCCTGGTCTACAAGAGCTAGTTCCAAAACAGGCTCCAAAACCACAGAGAAACCCTGTCTTGAAAAAAAAAGAAAGAAAGAAAGAAAGAAAGAAATTCTTTGGAAAATAAAAAAAAATGTAAGAGTGAGAAAAGCAAAGTTCCTTGTGCCTTCAGGTTCCAAGCAGGCATGTAAAAATGTGTTCTCTTTCCTAAGGAGTTAGTTTAGTCTCCAGTCTTAGAAGTCCATTGTGTACATACATACATATATATACACATACACGCCCACACACACAAACTTGTGACCTTTTTGTTTGTTTGTTTGTTTGTTTTTGTTTTTCGAGACAGGGTTTCTCTGTAGCTTTGGAGCCTGTCCTGGAACTCCCTTGGTAGACCAGGCTGGCCTCGAACTCACAGAGATCCGCCTGCCTCTGCCTCCCAAGTGCTGGGATTACAGGAGTGCGCCACCACCGCCTGGCACTTGTGACCTTTTTATAGATGGAAATTTTCAGCCACCTTTGTACTGTGGGACAATGGTCTGTATCCTATCACTCGTATTATTTTTAAATAAATGCTGATTGGTCAGTAGTCAGGCAGGAAGTAGAGGTGGGCAATGAGAACAGGGGAATTCTGAGAAGCAGAAAGGTCAGTCTGCAGTTGTCAGCCAGACACAGAGCAAGCTAAGTGTGACTGCCTCGCCAGGTATCAAGCCATGTGAATAACACAGACCAGAATAATGGGCTAATATAACATGTAAGAAGGAGTTAATAAGAAGCCCGAGATACTAGGCCAATCCGTTTATAATTAATGTAGACCTTTGTATGATTTCTTTGGGACTTAACAAGGCGGGGACTGGGCAGGATAGAAACTTCTGTCAACACCTTTGGAATCGTATTTTCACACTGTTCTGAACTGGTATCATTGTTGGAGCCCTACAATAAAATGACCTGAAATGAACATTCGAGTGAGCTCCTCCAATACTCACACATCAGAGCTTAAAGTGGAGCCGTTTATCCATCTCCAGTGCTTGTCTGGCAAGGAGTAATTTAGTCCAATCCAAAATGAATTGCCTCTTTCCTTTATCAAGTCCTTTATGAATCTCTACAATCAAAGCAGAGGAGAGGACTTAACCTGAGCCTGTGTGCTGTGACTCGTATTCCACAGCCTCCCGACACCTAGGTCAAGTGTCACCTGTGTCCATCCTGAGTCCTCAGCACAGTTCATTCTTCCTCCCTTGAGGAATCTGTGCCCAGCATTTATGATCCTAGGACACTCACCTTACATATGCAGTTATTGGCTCACATGTCCCTCTAGTCTCTCAGACTATGAGCTCCCATAATGCAAAGTCTCCACTTCCCTTGCATGGAAGATCCATTAAATCTGGAGACATTGATATAGCTTCAAGAACATGCTTACACCTCTATTTTACAGCACAACTTACCAGTTCTTCGTGGTCTTGAATGAGCAGCAAAGTGGCTCCTTTTCTAGCGCAGTAAGATTGACCTTCCTTCCAAATATTAGAATCTCGAGAAAAACATATGCATTTCTCACGGTGTAGAAGCCAGTCTTTTGGGCAGTGTAGCTTTGCTGGATTCCCTGATGCAGGAAGGAGACGTGGTAAATTTCTATCCGGTTTCTTCTGTGTATAGCAAGTTACACACACTAGTTGTTTTACTAATACAATTATTAACATATGCAGGGAGAAAATTGCTGTTATGACATATCAAAGAAATAGAAATAACAAGGAATTCATCTTTGTTTCTATCAATTAACTTTAAAGTTAACTCTTTGACATTTTTTTTTACAGTTAGTGATCAAGTATGCTAGCATGCTGAGACACCACGCCAAGCAGTTAAGATCTCAGGCTTCAAGGTCGCACAGTTTCAGAGAAGTTCCCAGCATTATCAACTACCAGTCCTTAGACCCTTAACACGTTTTTATACAGCAATTTCCTCTAACGTAAGACCATGGTGCTGTCTTCATAGGTGCCTGTTTGAAGCCCTGGCTGATATTAGTCCTGGTAAATAGCAAATGTCAACTGTTATTCTTAGGAAAGTCCAGCTGCGAAATTACCTGTTAGTTCAGTTATGCTCTCTTGAATATACTCTCTGCATTTTTCTATGGATGGCTTTTGTATTAAGACTCGCACTAGTAAATAAGAAAACACACGGAGATGATTAAATACTGAAGTGCATGGTGAAACAGGTGTTCTCCTTCCCACTTCAGGAGGTGGAGATGTTTCAACAAACCTGTACATATGGACTGAAGATAAAATATCAGTCACTGAGGAATGAGTTCAGAGAGAGAATATGTAAACGAAGAAGAAAAACACAGAGCGTGTGATTTCACACCACTTTGGGACCACATATCATCTAATGCCCTTACAGAATCTCTTAACTTCCCACACTCATGTCTGAATTCCCATCTTCACAACAAGTATTATCACACTGTCTCCAAGGAAGGCAGCTCACTGCCACCGGAGTTCAGAAGCCACTTAATAAACTAAACACTTGAGCCTTTTAGTTTTCTACCTTGTTGTTTATGTCACAGTTATGCCTTTCTGGGTGCATGTGAGTTGTCGGGGTTTGGAGTCAGCTAAGATCACACACAGACACCAAACACTAAACACAAAAGAGATTCATTAATCAAGAGGGGGAGGGGCTGCCTCTTGATCTGGCATAGACAGCAGCAGGTGTTTTTGCAGGACTGGCTTTTTAAGGAGAAAAGGGGAAGTCTGTGTTGGGATGAGTTGGTAAGTCCAGTGTAGCCAAAATATGAAATTTGATTTTTGGCTCTTGGTGTTTTAATCACTGGACCTTGGTGCTCTGTCTCAGGAATGTTCCATGGACAAATAAGGGAGTGAACTTGGAGGCTAGTTTAGGAATATAATCTAACAATTTAGCAAGGGAGGGGGAAGAAGAATGGGCAAAACTGGCAGGTGCCATGTTTGCCATGCATGGGTCTGCTAGAGAGCCCTTCATGTGTAATAGCCCCTAACAGCTCTCAGAAAAACTCAGAAGCACAGAAATGGGAAGCTTCTGCACTGCACATGGGACACTGTCTTGTAACTACTCATGTGGTTGACAATCCCCCAGCTCAAGGGGACAAAGCACGTGAAACGACCTGATATTTACAGGAAAAATTCTGAAGCAAAAGCTCTCGCCTCACTTACCTAAAACACTCAGTCCAACCACGGTCAGGAGAAGAAGGGTGAGCCCAGCACAACTGAGTTTCAGAGCCAACCTGTGGGAACGTGGGCACCGGCAGGCGTCTGTGAAGTTAAACACCTGGTTACTGCTTAAGTCAGTTGAGTAGATCTGGGATGAAAGTTAAAGGTGGTTTGGATTAACATGGACAACGGGATTCAATTAGAGGGTGTGCTGTGGATGTGTTTCTCTGCCATCGTAAAGCAGATCCCAGGAGCTGAATTCTGCATTGTGTTCAGCTGTTTGCTCTGATAAAGCAGGACTGAAAACGAATGCTCATGCACGTCTTGGTGGATGTGAAGACGTGTTGAAAACTGCTGAGTGCTGTACATCAAATGGCACATTCTGCTGCGGGACTGGAGTCAGCGTGTCACTAAGGAGGACCTTCTTTACTAAGAGCCATTTTTGATGCTCAATCCTGCGGTAATTGTGCCTTGTGGTGCTAATGGTATGTGATTCTGTTCCTGAACATGAGATCTGCTTCAGTGAGGTCTACAGTGTTGTTCTCCAACTTGAATTACAGTTATGTTATCTCATGAGTCCACACCATATTTTCAATATTTCAGTTGAGGTATTTCCTCCTATTGGCTGAGTTCTAAAGCCCCCTAATGAATAGATGAACTGAAAATGTGCCTCATATCACACACTATGTATACAGTTAGACACACACACACACACACACACACACACATGCACACAAACCAAACACATGCTATACATTGTGGATATAGCTTTTACGGTGCTCTTCCCTTAGATATCGTACATTGATAATTGCTTTTGCTGTTTTCTGTTCTGTTTCTGAGAGAGAGTTGTCCATTGGTCCTGGCTGACGTCTAACTCTCTGTGTGGCTGAAGATAACCTTAAGCTCCTCATTCTGAGTGATGGGAATCTGTTGGGTGGGCCTGCGGTAAGATGCTGCAGTCTACCATAGCCTGGCAGCTTTCTCTAAGCTCGGAAACACAGTGAGATTTCCTGCTCTCTATCAGCTCTTATTTGGAGAATGTCTCTGGGCCCGGAGTACTGTCCTTATCTGAAAGCTGTCTGCAAGCCCAGAGGCCTGACTTATCTTCAGCTCAGTTTCCTGTTAGACACTTTTTCCTTGCTGCACTTACGGTAACTGAGACTTGTATTAGGAGCTTTGCTATAGGACCCTGCTGCCACATATGAAGCCTTATAATAAGAGTGTACAAATTAGGATTTGTCCCCAGACTCCCCAATCCTATATATTTCCTATACTCTGGAATAAAGCTGAGCTGATTCGTCAAAGTCATCAACTGGAGGTCTGTCCCTGTCTTACTGACAGCCATCCAAATCTTGTTCTCCACTTCTGCTTTTTCCACCCCATGGACCACTGCAGCCAGCCACCCAAGGAAGAAGCAGAACAGCAGGATTCTAGGTGTGCACCAGCCACAAGTGGTCAGCATGTGGAGAATAAGAGACTACGAAGCCCTCCACTCTAAATGGGACATCTGCATCCCATCCCATCCCCAACCAAGGCTTGGGCATTATCACAGAAGGGGGCAGAATGACTATAGATCCAGAAGTGCTGGATAACCACAAGGAAACACTGTCTTCTGGACATAATAGGGCAGTTACAGAGATGAATTTAATGGCGTGCACAAGACCTTCAAAAGCTCAAGTCTGACAAAAGATTGTGGGGGAGTTGGGCGTGACATTCCACCCCAGACTGGGGAGATATTGACAGGGGATGGCAGCTAGGAGTGGGGGAGTCAGTTTTCTTCCAGGATACAGTCCCTAAGAGGTTACCTATGCTCCTGGACATGGCCTTCACCCATGCACATGCTGGCAGGGCTGACTGGACTCAGTGGGAAATCAAACCCCAACCCTTAAGCTCTTTAAGTCCCTTCCACTTTTACAGGTATAGACAGGGAAAACAAAGACTTTCCTGTGCCTACCACAAATAACTGGCTCTGTCAAATCTTCCCTCTAGTTATTTAAATCCCCCACTTTTCCCAGACCCTTTGTACAGATCATAATGAAGCTCATTTGGTGACTCAAAGATTTTTTTCTGATTAAAAAATCTGCTAATTTAATAGTTCCTGACAAGCATTCTTAAAAAGTTGTGATTAACATTCTTGGCACAATATAGAAAGATTAAATTTAATGCATTGCGATATTTTATGAGGAAGCTCAGTTACATCACAGAATCTCATACTATACCATGGCCATTTTAGGCCTATTTTCTGCCTCATTGTCTGTCTCTTTTCTTCCACCCCTAAGTCATTGTATCCTTCATATTTGTTTCACTTCAGTCTTCCACATTAGTTCCCATTTCCTTCCCTCAGATTTCACATCCTCGGGAGACAGGGTGCTGATTCCACCAGTGCTCAGTGCTGGGATGCCATGGAGCTGAGTCTTAGTGTTTGTGTTCTGTAGAAGTTTGAACCAGGCAAGATGCTTCACAGAGTCTCTCTGCTAGAAGCATCCCTTTCCTTGTAGATGTAAAGCATCCCTTCTTCAGGGTCTTGTGACGGAAGCTGAAGAGAAGGGCTGCCATGTCTCACATTAACTAACTGACTAGAAGGGAGTGCATGAGCTTCTTATCTCTAAAGCTGTGAGCATCTACTCTCTTCAGCATGGACTGACAGCTGCTCACCTTCAAAGCAACAACAAAACTGTAAGAAAAAACCATAACTCTGGAAGATATTCAAATGCCAGAAGGAGAAATAAAGCTACTGACCTGAGGGACGAGATGGAGGCGATGCACACGGAGGCCCTGGAGTCGTGGGTGTCTTTAAACTGAAGTAGACGCTTGGTGTGCCCATTGCGAATGGGAGATGTACACTGAAACTGTCAACAGGGACAAACTCCAAGGTCTAATATTTGAACAGAGTATAAAAGGAAGTCCCCTGCGAATGCTCTGCTGTGTGTCCACATCCACCCACACTTGTCTCTGAGGGTTTCTGTAGTCATCTTTTATTTCCACTTTAATAAATAAAGCTTAACTGAAGATCAGAGTGCAAAACTAAGTCACTGGAGGCCAGGGCACAGTGGCAGAGACCTTTAATTCCAGAACTCTGGAAACAGAGGCAGACAGATCTCTGTGAGTTCATAAATACCCTGGGCTACATAAATCGATCCCGCAACAGGTCCAGGTGGTGGTGGTTTACACAGGTGGTGGTTTGGAAGTTAGACACCTTTAATTCCAGCACTAGGGTGGTGGAGACAGGAGCAACATGACTGGGCAGAGAGAGGAATATAAAGGGGAAGAGACAGGAACTCACTGGAGTGTGGTGGAGTCTTCAGTCTGAGAATTTGTGGAGACAGGATCTCGCCCTTTCAGTCTGAAGATTTGGTAGTGGTTAAAGGCCTCTCTAGTGGTTGCTTCTTTGTTTTTCTCATCTTTAGCTTGAACCCCGATATCTGTCTCTGGGTGTTATTTCTTGTGCAACAGGTTTCTCCATAGTTTTGACCTGGGTGACTGTCCTGCTCACACAGCTTGCACACTGTTGTCTTTCTTTTTATTTTTGTTTCTTTCATACAATAAGTCCTAACTGCAGCCTTTCCTCCCCTCCTCCCAGTTTCTTCCACCTCCTCCCTCCCCCAGATCCACTGCTCTTCATTTCTCTCCAGAAAGGAGCAGACGTTCCAGGGATATCAATGAACACGGGATATCAAGATGCAGTAAGGCTAGGCACAGGCCCCCATATCAAGGCTTGACAAGGCACCCCAGTAGGAGAAAAAGGGTGCTATAAGCAGGCAAAAGAGTCACAGACAGCCCCAACTACCACTGTTAGGCGTCCCTAAGTTGAACCACCACAGCATGTACGCAGAGCGCCTAGCACAGACCCACGCAGGCTCCATGGTTGCTGCTTCAGTCTCCGTGAACCCCTGTGAGCCCTGCTTAGTGGATTCTGTGGGCCATGCTCTCCTGGTCTTCTCGACTCCTCTGGCTCCTACAATCGTCCCTCCCCATCTCTGGGTTTCCAGAATTCCAACTAACATTTGACTGTGGGTCTCTGCACCTGCTCCCGTCGCACACAATTGCCTTAAGAAAGGAAGGTGCAGCCGGGCGGTGGTGGCACATTTCTTTAATCCCAGCACTCGGGAGGCAGAGGCAGATGGATCTCTGTGAGTTCGAGACCAGCCTGGTCTACAAGAGCTAGTTCCAGGACAGGCTCCAAAGCTACAGAGAAAGCCTGTCTAGAAAAAAACCAAAAGGAAAAAAAAAAAAAAGAAAGAAAAAAAACAAAAAAACAAAACAAAAAAAAAGAAAGGAAGGTGTAAAATGTGGTTTCTGTTCCTTATCAAAACTCAAGGGAGACTTCTTGTTCTAGTTCCTGTAACCATTTGTTTTGAGTTATTCTCTAAGGGGAAGCTTAGGGTGAGTGAAATGTAGTATTCTTCTTCATTTCAAATTTAGGTGGCCATTTTTCCCAAATTACTAGCACTTATGATATACAGTATATTATTCTGTGTTGTAAAAATAAATATTAACATGTGAACTTCATAGTTACCGTTGACATGAATTGAAGCTCTAGAATCCTCTGGAAGCATCCATGCTGTGAAGGAAACTGTGAGATACGGAAGTGAGGACAAGACTGTGGGAAACACTTGTGGACTGACACAACGGGAAGAGCAGTGAGGAGGGAGCCCCACACGGTGCTCAGCCCTGTCCTGAAGGTCCATGTGGATGCGACCTCATTCACCAGTGGAAGGACTTCGCCTGTCAGAGCTACAGAGAGTGGAGGACGCAGGTCTGTGGGATGTGCTGACTCCTCCAAGGATTTGCAGGCCTAGAGCCTTAGAACAGGACTACACATGCCAAGTCAGACACTCTCATATCAAGTGAAGAAGAAGAAAAGAGATTTCCTATAAGTCACTTTCTGTGATCACAGCAGAATTGTACCAGGCCCTCACAATTATGAGACAGCAGCAGCAGTCTGTTGGCTTTGAGTTCAGGAGACAGGAGGTGCACACATTGTATGGACCTCACATTCATTCCCAGAGAACACTGATGATTACGATGTATGGGAAGTCTTGTAAGGGTCTCACAGCACACTTAGGACCCTGTGAATCCTCCCCAGCTGTCACTGTTTGATGACAATCATTTAAGCCAATGCTAGGCATGTGGTTCTGCCTTATGCTCCATCTATTTAGTTTTGGAGCACTGGAAATTGAACTTATGGTCTCATGAATTTGAGGCAAGCATTCTATCACTGAATTATGTTTTTGGTCCTTTGTGCTTTGCCTAAACCTAATATTTTAGCCATTACAGAAGATTTTCAAGAGTTTTCCATCTTGGGTCATTATTTTTTGAATCAAATATCAAGAATTTATGAAAATATTCTCAACTTTCAGTACATAAAAATTTCACCATATATAAGGCCCTCAGGCCTTAGTACATAGAGGACTCACCTGATTGCTCGTGAGTAATGCTTGTCCCTGCCTATAATCCTCTTCCCTTGCCAAGACACAGGTAATTTTAGGTGGGGAATGTGTGAATAAGCATTGCAACTATTTCGGTGGTTTTCACCATCTAATAACCTGGTAACCAATGACAATTGGGCATATGTATTAGAAAGATCAATAAGGGAAGTCTGATGGTCTTAGCAGAAGATTCAAATTATGCTTTGCAGTCACTGAGGTTTAACTAAGTTCTGAAGCTGCCTGTGGCTACGGAATCCACAATAGCCATGTGAAAAATAACAGATCTGAGGTGAGATATTTTCTTTAACATACTGACTAAAGTGTGAAGTGACCAGAAGTGAGAAGAGCTCCATGCGTCTGTGGGCAGCATGCAGTATGCAGCCTGCAGCCTGCAGCCTGCAGTATGCAGTATGCAGCTAACTATGATCATTTTGTCTAATACAGAATCTGGAACATCAGCAATCGCCTGCATAATCATTTATACAGTCAACCAGCATCGAGCATCCCAGGAAAGCAAAGGTTCCAATAGTAGCTCTGGGATCTTGTTAATCACAGCTGATTCTTCAGCCCCAGCTAACCACAACCTCAGAGTCTTAATTTAAAAAAAAAAAAAAAAAAAAAACAAGTGGCCCAGTTAGAGTCTTTAAACTTTCCCCAGAGACTTCACAAGCCAGGCCTCCATCTTTTGCATTGTCTTCAACATTCTTATCTCCCAAGCCCCTACAGAACAGCTCACCAAGCACTCAACACTCAATGACTTTTCTTGCACCAAGTTCCAAAGTCCTTCTAGCCTGGCCTCAGGTAAAGCAGACTTCTTCGCTGAAGTTTGCTGAAATGCAGAACCCCAGAAAGGAGGTGCAGTCTGGGGTTGTGGAGTAGGCTTTAAGGAATATTGGCAGGTGGTGGAGAATGTCTTACCTGGGGTCCCTAAAACCAGCCTAGCCTCCAGTAAAGCAGCAGGAGATGTGTAGGGGCTGGGATATGGAGTTCAGAGGTTGGGGTGCTCTTTGGAGGTATTGGTGGGCTTTAAAGAGATTTAGTGGGCTGTGGACGATGCCCCTAGAATAACCTGGCCTCCACTAAAGCATCCAAACATGTGGACCAGGAGAATACAGAGCCCAGGAGAGGGAGTCTTTTTTTTTTTTTAAGACCAGTAGTATTTGATTTTACCATAGGTCTCTCTGGCTTATTTGTTCTTTGATGTCAAGTTTCTTGAGTTCTTTGTATATTTTGGAGATCTGCCCTCTGTCCGATGTAGGTGGGTGAAGATCTTTTCCCATTCTGTAGGCTGCCATTTTGTCTTGTTGACCACATGTCCTTTGCTTTACAGAAGCTTCTCAGTTTCAGAAGGTCCCATTTATTAATTGTTTCTCTCAGTGTCTGTGCTACTGGTGTTATATTTAGGAAGTGGTCTCCTGGGCCAATGTGTTCAAGTGTACTTCCCACTTTCTCTTCTATGAGGTTCAGTGTAGCTGGCTTTATGTTGAGGTCTTTGATCCATTTGGACTTGAGTTTTGTGCAAGGTGATAGATATGAGTCTATTTACATTTTCTACATGTTGATATCCAGTTATGCAAGCACCATTTGTTGAATATGCTTTCTTTTTTTACATTTTTTATTTTTAGCTTCTTTATCAAAACCAAAAAGCAGATTACTTACTACCAGTCTACAATGGCACAGATTCTACATCATCATTCTAAAAGGGAGGAAAGGGAGCCTCGTGAGGAAACACTGAACCAAAGCAAGACTGAAAATTAAGCGGGCAAACTCTAAATTCTACATTTCCTTGCCTGTTGTCAAAGCTCAGGCCAATCTCCAACTCCTTTTCTTTGTTGACTGCAGCACACTTCTTTCTCTTGGACCATTTGAGTGTCCTCTATTGGGAATTCTCTGTTGAGATTTGTGCCCCATTTTAAAAATTGGATTATTTGGTTTTTTTATATCTACTTTCTTGAGTTCTTTGTATATTTTGGATATTTGTCTTCTACAGGATGTAGAGTTGGTAAAAAAAAAAAAATCTTTGCCCATTCTGCAAGTTGCTGCTTTGTCCACATGATGTTGTCCTTTGCCTTACAGAAGCTTTTCCGTTTCTTCAGGTTCCATTGATTAACTGTTGATCTTAGTGCCTGCGTTAGTGGTGCTCTGTTCAGAAAGTCTGTTCCTGTGTCAATGAGTTCAAGGCTATTCTCCCTTACTCTTCTTCCAGGTTCAGTGCAGCTTGCCTCATGTTGAGGTCATTTATCCATTTGGAGTTGAGTTGTTCAGGGTGGTAGGTTTGCATTCTTCTGCATGCAGCCATCCAGTTCTACCAGCACCATTTGTTGAAGACATTGTCTTTTTTTTATAGCTTCCTAATTAAAAATAAAAAGTCAGGTGTCCATAGATGTGTGGATTT